AATTGTAGACCCCCTTTTTCGCGTTTTTACATGTGACATGTCATTGTTTTCATAGAAAAGGCGCCAATATGCTGACGCGGGCCCTTGTGAAGCCATTTCTGGTTAGGAGATTGTTGTTACCATCGTTGCAAATGCAATTGCGGTTGCAAATTGAACAATTCGTAAACTACCAAGATAGGCCTTAAATGGACGACCCAAAAGACTTTTCACTTGAGAACAAAATGTCTAAACACAAAAAACAAAGAATTTGAGCCCCAAAATGCATTACTCTATACCACACTTTACCCGCAACAACGAAAAAATTTACCCATTTTCAAATGACTAAAAAAATATACTTTTTGGAGAGTACGGTAAAACTGCCATTAAAATCTGAAATTTCGTACCCTGAACTCTCGAAAAAATGCTTTCATTTGTAGACTAATCACTTTTTTCATTTTAATAACAATTATTGAAAAAAAAAGTGACTTTTTCATGAACACCAATCAGTCTTTTACGAATTAAAGTATAAAAAATTGAATTTACAACTTCACAGCTTATACCATAAAATTCTTGAGAAAATTCTCCATATTACAAAAAAAAAGTTTTTGAAAATCGGACAAGTAAAGTTATTAACGGGCAAAGTCGAATGGGTGAAAAACACCCAGTGTGTGCGTTGTGTTAAAAAACAGAGGTGTGTGCGCTGAGGGTTAAATTCGTCAAACATAAGTGTTTGTTTAAACGACTAACACTTATAGCCAGCCGTCTCGTGGTATATATAAACATAAGGAAAATATGCCAATGCAAGTATATACTCCTATCGCTGCTCACTTCAGCTTTTAGCTTTTAAGAATATATGTTTGAGAATAAAGATCAGTCTAGAGACACTACCCACAACGACAACGCGTTATTATTTTTCCCGATATTATAGGTGTTTGAGAATTCGAATGGAAATAACCTGGCGGATGCAAAGCTTATGCGTGGTTGTTGTATGACAATATTTAGTTGTCATGTTTGAAGATATGGTTTTGAGATTGGAGATAACTGCGTTATTGGGCAAGCACAAGTGAAAAACGAAAGTTGGAACATGGCGTGTGGCGCTCTTAACGCGACTGTGCTCTTAATCAAAAGGAAATCATAGTGGAAATGGCTAGAGTCCAATTTTGAATTGCTGAGAAGAAAATGAATAAACTGTTAAATTTAATCTGATTATGCAATGATAGTAAAAATTGAAAATTATTTGAATCGTTGAGATAGATGAAAATAAAGAAAGGCTTTGAAATAAAAGGAAAATGTGTAAGACTACAGTACACGAGGACGTGTAAGTGTCATAATGGCCGTGTCGGGTCATAAATTATGATAGTCAGTGTATAAGGAATCAAATCAAGTGTAACGATTCTTCTCGCTGCACTCTAACGATTGTTTGTTAGTGCGCTTTAGTCTACCTATTCGCCAGGTGTTCAGAATAGTTCAATGCGAACATCTTGCGTGAGGTTAGAGGTTTGGAAAAAGGGTTACGCACTAGGCGATTGTCGTGCGTGTATGCTTAAGCGACTGCGAGAGACAGAGATGCCAGTATGTGCATCACAACATCTTCGATAGCCCAGTTTTCGGGATTCTGGAACAGTCTAAAACAGGCAGTGGTGCGCTCAAGTCTATTCGCCATCTACAACCGTCTAAAAATTATAATAAGATATGTATGGACAAGGAGAATCATAACCCGACATACATAAGTAATATGAAATTAAAAAGTTTTTGTTTACCATTTATGTGGAATATTTGCAGGACAACGGCTGCTTTGCGTCCATCTATGGTACAAAAAATATTTTTATTATTACATATTATATATGTATTACTTTTTTTAATTTAAAGCAAACTTACCTTTCAAGCGAATTTATCGTACATACATTCTGAATACTAAAAAGATTTAAATAAGTTTGTAGTAAAAGACAGAATATTTTTGTAATCTTAACGACACTTACATGATTTTTAAACGATTCCGCTGCCCGTTGCACAAATTAAGTAATTTCACAACTAATGGTCAACGCACAACGCAAAAGAATGAGCAGTTCAATTTTATTTTTCATCCTTTAAGTGTACCTTTCTTTTTTGGGTATAACCGACCATAAATTGGTTTTGGTTAAAGTAGTGCTCGTGTGTGAGTTTTGTGTGGCCTAGTCTAAGGCGTGTTATTTTAATTTGGTCGAGTCTGCTTAATTTGGGATGGAAGAATCTGCAATAATTGTCGATGTTTGAATTGTCTTTGTTAATGTTTTTGTACCATTGATTGCAGTGTTCTATGTTTAGCTTATTTCTTGTTAGGAATTCTAGTTTTAAGTGTCTGTTTATGTCTGTTAAATTAATGTTTGGGGTGTAAATAAGGGGATCCACAATATTTTCATTTTTGGGGCTAGTTTTGTGACAAGTGATCTGATTTTGTTGGAGTAAAAATTGTTGTTGTTTGTGTTTCTTATGGCGTCAATTGCTGAGAGAGAGTCAGAGCAGATCATGAACTTTCCCCTTGTGCTTTTGACTTGGTCGATCGCTACTAATATGGCTATTATTTCTGCGGAGAGTACTGAATATTATAAGTATCTGTTGTGATTGCATATGAAATAGTGGAGTTCATTTTTGATCCGTCCGTAAATATGAATTTGTGTGTTTTATAGCTGTCTTTGGTATGCTCGTATAGTTTCCTGTATGTATCTGGTGGTGTGGTTTGTTTCTTGTGGGTTCTAAATGTTGTGTTTATGAGGTTTGGGAGATCCCAAGGTGGCTGGTATTTGTGTAGTTTAACTGGTTCGTAGGTCAGGTTTAGTGCTTGACAAAGGTTTATTATGCGGTCTATGTTTGATAGGTTCTTTTTTGATTTTCTTTGTTTGACAAGTTTGTGTATTGGTGTATCTCTGGAAAAAATAAGGTTTTTTGTGAGTTTGGCTGTTTTAAGGTCTCTTTTTTGCTCTAATGGGAGGATGTTGGCTTCGTATAGTAAGTTATTTATGGGTGTGGTTCGGTAGGCGCCAAGGGCTAGACGGATTGCAGTGTTAAAGGGTGTTTTTAATTTGTTTAGCACGCTTTTCGGAGCCTGTCCGTATAGAAACAGGACATATTCAATTTTTTCTATGACTGTTGCTTTCGCGACGTGGAGTAGTGTTTGTGTGTTACAATTGAATTTGAGGTTGGAGAGGCATTTTATTATATTCAATTTTTGGTGTAGTGATGGAAGAAGTGATTTTATTTGTGTGTCTCATTTGTATTTACTGTTTATGGTTATCCCTAAGATTTTGAGTGCTGTCACTTGTTGTATTGGTGTATTGCTACAGCTTATGGTGCTAGTGCAATTGTGTTTTTGGCAAATATGGAGGTGTTGGCATTTAGTTAAGGATAGATATGCCCCTGAGTATGAGCACCAGGTGCTTATGTCATGTAATAAGTTGTCTATGTTGAAATTTAGGTTTTTTTTTTCTGAAATTTATTATGATGAAGAAATCATCGGCGTATGCGTTAAATTTAATTTCTCTGTGTAAAGATATTGCGTTTGAGAGTTTATTATATGCGATGAGAAATAGGATTACCGATATAGGTGATCCTTGTGGGATACCGTTGGATAATGGGAGTGAATTTGACATGTGCGGATTTTGATTTTTGATTTTAAAATAAGCAGCTGAGAAAATAAGTACATACAAATCTACATTTTTCTAAAAAAAAATTTAATGGTTAAACGTGTATGTTCATATATTAAAAAAAAAACATAATTTTAAATTATTCATCTTCTAATTAAAAGCAGCAGCGTCGAAATCAAAAATCAAAAACAGCAATAAGTCGAATACCTCGTTTTTTGAGGCTTCGACTGCTGACGACTTCCGAATGACAAAATTTTTTTTTTTTTTTTTTTTTTTTTTATGAATGACCAAGAACATTGTGTACAAATTTTGAGTCAATTAAAGTCAAACTAACGGAGTTACAGCGTTTTAAACAACCGTATTTGGACGTATTTTCACGTATAAAAATACTTTGAATCGATTTTGCCGAAGACGCTATTTTGAAAGTCGGTGCACATCAGAACTCAAAATCTACTAAACCGATCTTTTTCAAATTTTTAACACAAATTCTCAACATAAATACGCAGGCATATATTAAAAAAAAAAAACATAATTTTAAATTATTCATCTTCTAATTAAAAGCAGCAGCGTCGAAATCAAAAACAGCAATAAGTCGAATACCTCGTTTTTTGAGGCTTCGACTGCTGACGACTTCCGAATGACAAAATTTTTTTTTTTTTTTTTTTATGAATGACCAATACGTCGAGAACATTGTGTACAAATTTTGAGTCAATTAAAGTCAAACTAACGGAGTTACAGCGTTTTAAACAACCGTATTTGGACGTATTTTCACGTATAAAAATACTTTGAATCGATTTTGCCGAAGACGCTATTTTGAAAGTCGGTGAACATCAGAACTCAAAATCTACTAAACCGATCTTTTTCAAATTTTTAACACAAATTCTCAACATAAATACGCAGGTAATCAGGAAGAGTTTTTTTTTAATTTTTAATTTTTTTCTATTTTTAAAAAATAAATTAACAGCGATTTTTAAAGCTAAAATCGCACTTTTCACTTTCAAGTGCTCCCAAAAATAGACAAAAAATAAATTTTAAAAAAACTCTTCCTGATTACCTCGCGAAATTCATTATCTTTACAACGCATATCACATTTTATTTTTAAGATGATCCGTTAACGCCCTATGATGTTCACCGCAAAACAACTTTTTCTTTACCCGCTTCGGAAGATTAACCGCCACAGGCTTATTTCTAAATATTTTTTAATAATTTTTTTTTTAATACTCTTCAAAAGTTGAACAATAAAATGTAATTAAGCTCAAAAAAAAAAAAAAAAACTTACTCATTTCACCGCCTAAAAAAAAAAAAAAAAATCAAACATGGCCCTTTTTTTGGCCTTTTGAGCTAAAATCGCACTTTTCACTTCCCAAGTGCTGCAAAAAATAGACAAAAATACCCCCTGTACACTTTTTTATATTATTTCTTTTATAACATTATTTTTATAATTAAATATATATAAAACATTTTTACGATTTGGTTTATAAGTTTAAAATTAATAACATAATTTACTAATAGCGAACCTCTACTATAAAACTTAATTTGGGTACAATAGGTTCAAATCGCAATATGTAAAACATATTTACACGAAGACATGCAGTTAATACTCAGCTAATACCTGCCGAAAAATACTGATTTTTGTAATAATATGCACATACGCCTACTACAATGGAAACAGCACTTGTGAATAGAATTGACTTTGAAGTCAACATATTTGGAACCCATTGGCTTATGCTAAAAATTCGGTTTTCTATGTCTGGCCTTTTTCGCTGTCGCTTCCGTGTCATACTTTCTTGGGCCTTGAGCTGTTCTCTCCTGTTTCAATAAAAAAAATGTAGTATATATCTAGACATTCAAATACGTACGTACTCTTGGTTAATGAGCTCATCAACATCTTTCTCTATAACTGTTAAGCTGTACTTTTTTAAAAGATTACTAGAAGTTTTTAGTAACTCTTCAAAAGGTAAATCTTCCGGCAGCTAAAAGAAAATGTAGTTAATAAAATATTTGAATAAATATGCATATTTTTTCAACAAGTATTTTACCTTTGACAAAAGGCAATGAACTGATGCCATATCACAGTCCTCCTTTAGTATATCTTTTGAACGATACAACAGAATCGCTGCTGTTACGAAAATTGGTGAATAAATAGGTGATGCTAAGAAATAGTCATATAATCGAACTACGGATTTGTAGGAATTTAAACTATGTCCAAACCATGTTAAATACCAGGGCAAGGCGAACAAAGTCCCTACCGCCGAGCTTTGCAAGAACTTATAAAGCTCTGCGTTTTCAAACTTTATGATGGGCCATACAAACATGAGACGTCTTTGGGTGGCCTCCATTGTCTCCTGCATACATTCGGAAAAATGGGTCGTGGAGAGCTGCTCCATAATGGCATAAGCGATTTCTTCACCAACCACCAACAAAAACGTGACTGCCACATCGTGATAGCCTTGATAGTATCGTAAATTGGGGTATTTCTGAATAACTCGTAATATAAGCACAGTAAGTTGGTCTTGCAGTGCAATGCGTTGATCATAGGGAATGCCAGGTGGGAAACGCTTTAAAGAACGATTAACGTCCAACACCACTTGATTGTACTCAGGATGGCATTGCAACTCATCAACAGTTGGGGCTCTTTCTAAATCATTTACGTCGACTCCCGCCAGTTGGGGCCACAAAATTTTGCGTAAATGGTCATTGACCAAACCGTGAGGCGACAAGGACAACTTTACCAGCTGTTCCATAGGAAAATTATTTTCGACGCTCTGTTTTATAAATTCCTCTATCTCCAGTCGTTTGCAAAGCTCTTCATCACTTTCCGGAACTGTAAAAATATAATTTTATAATTACAACACACAACTTTATTTCACCTACTTTTCTCAAATTTAAGGGGAGGCTGATCAACAACAATATCATCAACATTACTCATTGCTAAATGTGTTTTGAGTGTTCAAAATATGTGTTTTTAACTAAACATAAATGTATTTATGTTTAGCTTTCAAATATTGCAATTCGACTTCAACAATGTTCATTCTAGATGATTATAAATACTCAAACCGATAAATCGCAAAGAGGTCAAAAATAAATTTTTAAAAAATAGACTGTTCACACCTTATATTTTTCTTTCAACACTTATATCAGTACAGGTTGTTACAAAACTTGTTATAGTGGACTCTTACGGAGCACAATTCACTATACCTTTGCTGGACTATTGTTTCGAAATTGACGTTAATAACCGAACATTTAACCCGTTCAGCACAAGAAGGTAAGCAAGTCATCGAAAAATTTTCTTTCTTCCTTTCCTGTTTATGGTATACGTTAAATAACGTTTTAAGGGAACGTTCTCTTTGTTTTGGTCGAAATGAAGGCAAAGTTCGTCAATTTTTTGTGGGATAATGAAAAGGCGTACGAACTTCGGGTTTTGCTTTTTGAATTTGTTTATTACACTGTGCGACAAAAAAATGTTTAAGTTAATTTTTTCTTATTTTTCGCTTCTACTAATCAAAATACGAATATATGTTTGTGGATTTGTTAATATCAATAGCCAATCAGCTTTTACGCACACTCAAATGTCCCAAAAAACGCGCGTTTTTGCATATTTCACAGCCTTATAATCACATATTGGGAAAATATTTTTTCACCGTTATAAGCGTTCATGCAAGTTCAATATCTATTAATTAAAATGTATTAAGCAAATATACCGTTAGGCTTTTATCACAATGCTTTAAAATTTTTTTCTCCCAGCTCTATACTCTGGGCGACTACGTATGGAACTTGTTACGCGAGGATACCTCTGAAAAAGCCAAAAAAATCAGAAAAAAATTTCACTTTAAAAAAAAAAGATAGTTTATTGGAAGTACAAAAAAAAAATATTTTGTGTTAATTATTTTCATAATAATAATTTCATAAAATTTACCATGAAAAAAGACATCGTATCACTTAAAAGGTGGCATAAATATTTTTGTGCATATTTATGCACCTTAACCGAAAACAATCAAAAAAGTAACTTAAACAAAGATTTTGTTAAATTTTGTCGCACAGTGTTATTCAAGATTTTTTAAAAATTTATTTGATGGTGAAATTTGTTGAAAATAAAGCCCCTGTATATTATCTATGTGACAATGCACGCTTGTATATGTATGAATGTAAACACAGATCGCGAGACCTATATAGTTGTCTCGATCTAACGAAATAGGGATAAGAAAATATGTATACCAAAATGTTTCTCCTTTGCCAAACTTCAGTCGCAAATAAAATTCCGCAGTATACACACGGTGTTTCGTTTCTTTCCTTAATTTCTGCCGCTCAATAGATTATGGGCCCAGGCACTAAAGAAGTTAAATAAAGGTTGTGCGGTGTGTGACTCAGGATAAAGAACAATGAGTGCTCTTTATCAAATTGACAAGTGAGGAGACTAACTATGTCACCTGGAAAATACAGATGCGATCTGTATTGGTGCATTCCGGCTTGTGGAGCGTCACTTCTGGAGAGCTTACGGAATCGAATGTTCCAGAAGGACAAAATTGGGTGGCCTTGGATAATAAGGCGTTGGCCACAATTACATTGAGTGTAAAGACTTCTCAATTGAGCCATATCAAGAACTGTCGGACTGCGTTGGAGGCTTGGATGAAATTGAGAGATGTACATCAGCCAAGCGGACCTGTACGAAAAGTACAGTTATACAAGAAACTGCTTAACAAGCGGATGGAGCAGGGGCAAAGTATGGTGACCTACATAAGTGAGTTCGTGGAAATTCTGGATAGTCTAGCTGGAATAGGCATAGAGCTGGGCGATGAACTTCGAAGTATCGTTTTGCTGTCGAACCTTCCAGAACAGTTCGAGAATTTCGTGGTGGCTATAGAGACACGAGATCAGTTGCCTTCCTTTGAGGTTCTCACCATAGAGCTGAAAGAAGAGAGCGAGAGAAAAGTAGTAGCAGACGAGAATGGCGACAGTACAAAGGCGTTCGTCGCAGCACAGTCCACAGACATGTAGACAAGAAAGGACTTGCAGACGAAACGGAAAAGTATCGTTTGTTTCAAGTGTGGAAAAAAAGGGCACATCAAATCACAGTGTCGAAGTGTGAGTGATGGCAACAATTCCACGTTGGCAAAAAACACGGTGAACCGCCAAAGCAGCTTGCTAAATGCATGTGACGTCAGCAACTTAAAAAACTCAGTGTGGTGCTTAGACAGTGGTGCAACGAGCCATATGTGTTGTGAAAAGGAGTTATTCACAAAATTCGAGAAGCACACAGAACAGATCGGACTGGCCGATGCTGGTTTTCTTCAAGCCGAAGGAAAAGGTAACGTCAAGATACAGACAGACCTGTGTATATTGACGCTAAAAAATGTTCTCCATGTTCCAAAGATGAACGGAAATTTCATGTCGGTAAGCAGTGCTGTGCAGAACAGGTGCAAGGTGATCTTCGATATGAAAAACGCCCAGGTAGTGCAAGATGGTGAATGCATTGTGAAAGCTAATAAGATCGGCAACCTGTATTTGTTTGAAGGCGGACGAAGTAAGTGTTTTGCCATGAAAGCAGTGGATGGTGTTTTGCTACACAAGAGATACGGCCACATTAATTTCTCTAGCATGAAAGAGCTGGTATCCAAAGGAATGGTTCTTGGAGTATGTTCGGTCATGCCGCAGCCTAAATCAAACCACTAATTTCAAATCGTAACGTAAAACCAAATTCTCGATGTTCTCCTTTTGTTTGCTATTTGCCCTGCGCGGCAACACTGTTTTGATTGTCATTGCTAACTGCCTTTTGCACCTTTTCGCTTATCGCTTCCTGGCCTTGTCCACGGCAAGCTTCATGTAATTCAATTCGTTTTCGCTTACAAGAAGGCACGGTCGCTGATCGCCTGCCTATGTATATACTCTTCGCGACGTTTAAGGTACAGACAAATCGGTCTGCCTTCCCAACTTAACTTTATACTAGTTCGAATCTGCACACGCTCATAGAAGGCACGATCGCTGATCGCCTGCCAAATCTCGGTTATATACTTTCGTCTAAAGCACAGACAAATCGGTCTGCCTGCTAACTATACCTTTTCGCTGCAAAAAGGCACAGACAAGTCGGTCTGCCTGCCCAACATACCTTATCGCTGTAAAAAGGCACAGACAATTCGGTCTGCCTGCCTAGCTAAATCTACAACAAACAATAACTCTGTGAATTTAAGGCCTTGGTGCCAGTAATAAATAAGTGCATTATTTAAGCTAAAATTTGTGCGTTTTATTTACTTGGGCACAAGGTAACGGTTAGTAAAAAAGCTTACTGACCCAACATTTTGGTGACCCCGACGTGATAGTGAAACAATAGAAGTACGAACAATCAAACCTAAAGTGCAACCAAACAATAATTTTATTATTTTCGTTCGGATAAAGTTGGTGATCGCGCATATATGTATGTACATATGTACATAAACGCAAGCTGAAAACTTCGCTAGAGTCTCGTACACGCCCGCCCCCGCGCATCGTAAAGTGCATTTTCGTTTTCGCTTTGTGCCGTCGTTCCCGCTTTAAACGTTTTACAGCGGCGACAAAACGTTTGTGCGCGGGTTCATTACCTACATTGCATATGCAATAGACTTGCACATAGATTCCGCTTCGTTTTCGCTGGCTTAGAATTTTGGCGCTAATCATTGCACAGTGGAACTTGTTTAGTGTGCAAGTGATAAATTCTTGAAGCAATTAAAATCAAACTTAATAAAATGTCAACGAACCAAACTCTTTCTGCTCCAGTTGCGGGAGCAAAATGTTTCAAGTTGAAGGCTGAGTCAATGCTTTTTAAAACGAAAGCCTTCGAGAAGGCCCTGACTGCCAACAAGCTCCAGGAAATGTGCGAGGAGGAATTGGAGCTTGGTGTTCTGCCTTTTCCAGATCCACGACAGACTTGAGCAGCTGGACTTCAATGAAATTGGTAAATGGTGCGCGATGACTTCGAGGAGCTTTTCATCTCAACAAAAACAAAATTGAATGTTGAATTGCGTAAGCGAAAAGGGACCAAGCGTCATAGCCCTTTGCACCCTGGCTCTCAGCCTTCGTCCGCGATTCAGCGAACTCCCGTGGCGCAACTAACCTTTTTATCCGTTCGAACGATGCATCAATTGGCGAGTGATGAGAAGAGAGGGCAATCAACACAGGAGGTTCTCGAAATCAACGACGTCCGTGATCAAATTCCTGACTTGGAAAAGGAAACATTCCTGAAGATAGACGATAGCAGCAACAAGACGCTCGGTCTTGCCTGGGACCCTGTAGCGGATGTTTCTCGTTTTTCCCTTTCTTCCATACAGGTCTCTCCAAAGCCATCTGCCAAGGCCAAAATCTTCCTGCAACAAGTCTGGAGAGAAAGGTTGAAGTGGGATAAGAGCTCTCCTGTTGTCCTGTTGCCATCTGGCATGGGTCGTACCCATCAAATGGAGATTCTTCGACGTGCGTTGGATCCAGATGCTGATGGCGAACGAGAGGTGCATCTACTTTTTTCAAAGTCTCGTGTGGCACCTTGGAAGACTCTTACGGTTTCCAAATTGGAGTTCTGCACTGACTTGCTACTAGCGCAACTGATGCGGGACGTACGCAACATGAAGCTCTTCGTTTCTGCTGGAGCTTTATCATCGATAAGCTATGAACATTCACGCTTTCAAGTATTTGTTACTAATCGAATTTCTTCAATTCAGAAGCTATCCAGTGGCATGAGTTGGCACTTCGTTTTGACTGACTGCAATCCAGCCGACATTTTGACAAGAGGAGCTTCCCAGAATGAGCTTCTGGATTCTGCCCTTTGGTTCAGAGGCCCAGCGATCCTTCTCAAGAATCAGCACGATTGGTCTGAATCTTGTTTGCCTGTGAAGACTCCTCCCGAGTTCAGAAAGGGCATTTTGGTTGGCGTCTCTACCAAAGTGGATCTACCCTTAAAACGCAATCTCGTGAATTCCTGTCAAAAGATGACCCACACTTTCGGATTCGAATACAAATTTGCACACCGTAAAAGACGTCCTGGTCTTGCCGTCAAATATGTCAAGATGGGCACTCAGATGCTCATCAGATGTATCCAA